CTGCCTGTAGTGACGACCCGCGACCATGGAGATATAAACAGGTTTTTATAAGGTAAAAATAATAAAACAAGGTCTTTGTCTGCAATGATTAGACATGTTTTTTATTATATTATTGTCATTAGTGATTATCTCAATTTCAGCTAAAAGAATTGACAAAATCCTACAAACTGTGCCTTTAAAAACCTAACTTGTGATATTTGTGTGGTTCCTGCTTCACTCTTTAATTTTTCCTGGACCCTTGCTTCCAAAATGCTCAGGAAAACCTACCAGAAAAATCTAATAAACCAAGTCAGTGTAAATTTTTTTTTTATTTTTGCAGCAAACTGACAAAATAAATCAGCTTAATTCAGTAAAAAATAAAAATCGTGCTAAAAATGCATTTAAACTAATAAATCGGTAAATGTAACAACTGATTAGTAAAACTAATCAGTGAACTACTTTATCATTGCCAGTTCTAATAAATCCCAAAGCTCTTTTTTTTTTTTGCTGAAATTATCTGAATTTTCCGGCACCATTTTAGTGCAATGTGTTGACTAGTTGGAACGGCCCCATTACTATTATTTGAATGARTATTTCAACCATTTTAAAGGTGGAAAAGTTGTGAGCAATTAATATCTTACATGCTGTGGAAAGGTTTTTGAACCTCAGCTATTTCCTGACACAACAGCTAGTTTGAAAGCAAAAAAATCAGAATGGATTTTTAAAAATTTAAAAATCTTTTTTGATTTTTAGTGGTTCATACAAATATTTAAAATCTCATTTTCAATATCACATCTCAGTAATTCCAGCATATGTGTGCCTGCTTGATGTGCATCAAGCTACAGAGGAAGTGCTACAGTTAGYCTTACCTACTATTTTCTCTTGCTAATAACCAATAAATATAAACAGAATCCCATTTTTCCCGAACAGACGGCGTGAAGGTTTATAAGATAACCGACGTGAAATGAGCAAAGATTTTAGATATTGGTGCTGATGAAAGAGGGCGGCACACCTCCTTGGTCTTAGCTGAGCTCAGAGTAGCCGTTAGCTTAAAGGGATCACTGATTAGTTGTAACATTAGACTTTATATGATAAACATATTTTAACTGTAAAATAAAGACTGTAAAAATACTTTAGGATGTTCAGTTTTTATAATTTTTAAACTAAAAGTTTAAAAATATATTACACGGACGGGGCCATTTTATTAACACGCAAAGCATTCTGGGTAAATGATGACATCAACTAGGTCATTGGCACGAGGCTGCTAGTGAGCTATATCCACCCTGAAGGTTAATCTTGGACAATATCTGATGATCGACTCTTTTAAATGAAACCAGAGAGCGTTGACAGAGAGGAGAAGGTAGAAATGACTCAGCCTGTAACTGAAAATATGGATGGAGGACAACAGAGCTGCTTCATGGAAGAAGAACCTCAGCTTAGCCTGTTAGCTTTAGCGTTAGCCCCGACGCTATCACTATATATATGTRTTAGCTCAGCGCTACACATTCTCCTCTCGTCACTGAGGTCCTCCATCCACATGACAGAGGGGAACGCAAAAATGACTCAGCCTGCAACTGAAAATGTGGATGGAGAACCTCAGTTCAGCTTATTTGTCATTCTAGCGCCGAGCTAATACATATAAGGCAATATAGCATGAAGGCTAGCGCGAAGGCTAACAGGCTAAGCTGAGGTTCTTCTTCCATGAAGCAGCTCTGTTGTCCTCCATCCATATTTTCATTCATAGAGTCATTTCTACCTTCTCCTCTCTGTCAACGCTCTCTGGTTTCATTTAAGAGTCAATCATCAGATATTGTCCAAGATTAACCTTCAGGGTGGATATAGCTCGCTAGCAGCCTCGTGCCAATGACCTATACATGTCATCATTACCCAGAATGCTTTGCATGTAAATAAAATGACTCTGTCCGTGTTAAAATATATTTTAAAAATTTACAAAACTTAACATCCTACAGTATTTTAGTCTTTATTTGACAGTTAAAACAAATGTTTATCAAATAAAGGTTAATGTTAAAACTAATCGTGGATCCCTTTAAGTTCTGCTAAACTTTTATTTATCCAAACAGGTAGTTCAAAAAGCTGTCTGAACCAACATTTTCATAGTTACTACAAWGCATTTGAAGCATTTGTCCAGGTGTTCACACCTACCCCTTCCTAAATCATAGAGACAAATCCAGTGAGCGCAGCAGGTTGACCGAGGTTATGTTTGTACGCACGGCTGAAACGAAGGAGCTGCTCTACTGTTGTGTCCAATCTGTGTGTCCATTAGTTAATTCTCACCCACAGCTGACTGTACGCTGACGGATGTGACGATAACCAGCTGACCTGGGCTGTTTTTCTCTGTTGAGCCTATAATTTTGCTGCATCTCTACAGAAGCTCGATGTTTGCCTCTGACAGTGAACTTATAAAAATCATGACCCTGCAGTCAGTGAACTATAACAAATGAGTCTCATAAAAAAAACTCAAAATATGCAAGCTAATGAATTATTAA